TTCGATCAACAATCTCAGTAGAAGGTGGGAGAGGACAAGTGTTTGGAGAAGTCGGCAACCATCGATCAACCCACAGTCTAATATGTACCTCGTTCATAACTTGCCAATGTGCACCATGAAGCAGAATATCCCTGCTCGAGCAAGCTCGCCCATGCCCATGAAGCACGACCACTCATTTTAGCTTCCAAGAAACTGACGTTGGGGAAATATCTACCTTTTAGAACTTTAGCCCACAGAGATTGAGGCTCCATCAAAATTCTCCAGCATTGCTTTGCAAGAAGAGCTAAATTGAACTCGTGGAGGTTGCGAAAATCCATTCCCCCCTCATGCTTAGGTTGCCCAAGGGTGTCCCAATAGATCCAATGGAGCCTCCGATTGTCTCCTTTTTGCTCCCACTAGAAACCCGCCAAAATATAATCAATTTCTTTACAAATGGTGGTAGGGAATTTGAAGATATTCATGGGACAAGCTGGTACAACAAGAGCCACCAATTTAATTAAGATTTCAAGGCCAACTTCCGAAAGGCAATGTTGATTCCAGCCTTGCACCTTCCGAAGAATTCGATATTTCATGTACAAAAGCGCTTCTTTCTTTGCTCTGGTCCAAGAAGTGGGAACCCAGGTATTTCCCTGCATCAGTAACATTAGGCATGCATAGGATTTCACACATTGAAGCACAAATAGAGGAAGGGTGTTGGAGCTGAAAACCACATTGGACTTGGTCAAGCTCATTTGTTGTCTAGATGCAGTGCAATATGCTTGAAGGAGGCGAGAGATATTCTGACAATTTTGTGTGGTGGCCTTCAAGAATATGAGGGTATCATTTGCAAATAAAAGGTGGGATATGGTAGGACCTCCAGAATTCAACTTAATACCTTGTAACAAATTTGTCTCACATGCTTTTTTGATTAGCAGTGACAAAACTTTACGAATAAAAAGAAATAAGTATGGGGAGATTGGGTCACCTTGTCGAATACCACGGGATGGGGAGAAGGCACCTCCTGATTGGCCATTGATCACCACAGTGAAGTTTATTGTTGTTACACAACTCATGACTAAATGAACCCAATCTGCATTAAACCCCATTTTTTGCATGACCCTCTCTAGAAAATCCCATTCCACACAGTCATAAGCCTTATTGATATCGAGTTTCACTCCCATTTCAAACTTCTTCTTTGATTTCCTGAGTTTCAGAGCATGGAAAACTTCATGGGCTACCAGGATGTTATCCTGGATCTGCCGATCGGGTACAAAAGCATTTTGAGTAGGGGAGATAATGTTGGGTAGGTGAGACTTAAAATTGTTGGCAAGAATTTTGGAGAGGATTTTGTAGGAGAAGTTGCACAGGCTAATTGGCCTAAATTGGGAGATGGCTTCAGGATTAGGAACCTTTGGGATAAGGACAATTTGTATGGAGTTCAAAGGCTTAGGGATGGCTTGACCGGTGAAGAAGTAAGCAATGAAGCCTTGAATATCGTTGTGAATAATTCGCTAGTACTTGTGATAGAAAGTCCCATGGAAGCCAATAGGACCCATAGCCTTAGTGGTCCCCATTTGAAAAGCAGCATCTTTAATCTCCTCAAGTGTAATTAGCCTAATTAGATCTCTGTTTATTTCAAAATTTACCACTGGTTCAACATAATCTAGGATGGAATTCCAGTCTCTGCTTTCACTTGAAGTAAACAGCTCTTTGAATTATGCCTCAAAAGCCCTACAAACTCCCTTCTGCGATTGCTCCCAATTGCCATTCTCTCCCTTTATTCTTGTGATCTTGTTTTGTCTCCTTCTTTGGATAGTCGCTGGCGAAAGTACGAGGTATTGGAGTCTCCATTATGTAGCCATTTAATTCTGGAACGCTGTTGCCAATAACACTCTTCTTTTCTCTAGAGATCATTCAACTTGGTCTTTATACGACAGATATTCTCCCTATTTTCCTCTCAGCTATGTTGCATGAGGTTTAGTTGGTCCACCAGACTATCAATTTCGATCTTGTTATTCTTGAATTTCCTTTTACTGCATTCAGTAAGTTGGGTTTGGGAAGTATGCAGATTCTTTCGCCATTGACCATTGAGGCTACTACTCCACGACCTCTCAATGACTTCTCTACATTATGGATCATCCGCCCATGAGGGTTCGAACTTAAATTGTCTTTTGCCAAACTTCCCTTTTTGAGTTGTTGAAATAAAAATACGGCAATGATCCAAACCAATTACTGGACAGTGTATAACTATGGTGTTTGGCCATCGAGTTTGCCAAGCTGCATTTACGGTCAATTCTTTCTTGCACAAAGTGTCTCTCCAAGTAAAACTCGGTCCACTAAACCCCAAGTCTATAAGCTCAACCTTCATAGCAAACTCAAGACCGCACTGAAGTAAGAACCATCGCTTAGAATATGCATCTTAGTATCAATCAAGTTTTCAGAACTAAATACAACATTATTTGTGTATTATTTGTGTACTTTTTGTGGCAACAGCATCAAGATGGCTCCATTTTTTCCAGAACCAGCACCGCCTTCATTGTCTGGGAAAACAAAGGTCATGTTCTGATGGAAGCCAGGAACCTGAGAAAAAGAAGCAAAACCAATTACCAGATGAAGTAACAAAGGAAATTAGCTATTTTAAAAGGGGAATGAGAGACCAAGTCCAAGTGGTATTAGTTATTTTGAAAGTAGATCGAGATCCCAAATGCTTGTCGATATATATTTAGTTACAAGTGACTTTAATATTTTGGGGGGGTTTGATCTTTATGTGTGTAAATTGTAATGAAATTGTAATCAAAGCCGAAATATTTATTGAATTGTTTACTATACAGGAAGAAATTGCAATCAAAGTCAATATCTTTATTGATTTTTTTTTTTTTTTGGGGTCAAGTATTGAATTATTTATTGAATTGTAATGAAATTGCAATTAAGGCCAGATATCAATAAAGACTCTAATATATTTATGGCTGTATAGTTTATTAATTAATTATTGGAAAAAATAAAAAGTAAGAAATATACCAAATAGAAATTGTAATTATTTTTAATAAATCTAATACACAAACAAAGATTTAAGCCTCGTCAAATACATAATAAAAGAATAGGTATAAACTGAAGTTGATTGGATATATGATGGGCCCCATTGTACTTTTAGATGCTGTTGATGACTATCTTGGTTTGTCACGAATCCTGTTAGACCATCTCCAACCATTGGGGTGGAAACTCAAATTTTGAGTTTAGTTTCCAAAAACCATCTCCAACCCATGTATTTTGAGGGGTGGAAATTTGAGAAATCTCAAATTCGGACTGGAATTCCACCCAAACTATTGCCTGGACTGATAATGTTTGTGGCCCAAAATCTACTTTTTCTTCTTTGTTTTT